TAACCTGGCTCTGTCTTTCCCGATATTCAAGAATTGTTGATTCTTACTATACTCTGTGAACCAAAGTGATTGCCAAGTGAAAAAAACAAGGTGCAGAGTATTTTAGCATGCTACCTTTTGAGTAAAAAAGAGAAAATAAGAATATAAATATATATTTGCTTTTTTCTACTTCCGAAAATGAGCATAAACCAGAAACCAATGAAAATGGGGAGAGGGGGAGCAAAATCGGGGGAATAGGAATGGAAGTGAGACTCCTCTGAATGTACCTTTTAAACTCTGGAGACATGTTTATATGTCAAGAAATAAAATTAAGCAGGAAAGAAGAGAAACCTTAAATTTGCTTATAAACGAATGAACCTAACTACGTATCAAATGATTACACAGTACTTCGACTATACATCCTTCGTGAAATATATTCTAAGGACAAAAAGCATAATGAAATATCGACACTTCACTGTGCAGTGTAATAGTAATAATGTTAGTCTTATAATTTTGAAATTATGTGTTACAGAGTAAAGCAAGTAAGTAAATGTATTATTGCTGTTAGAGACCAAGATTGTCAACATAAGAGGAAAGAGATACAGATAGGAAAATTAAAGGTTAAAAAAGGTCATGTTAATTTGTTGTAAACTGTGGTTTTTAAAAGATTAAAAAGTCCTTCTCTTTCCTACTTGCAGCCATTTTTTAACCTCTTAATTTTATGTCTAGTTGGCAGTTGGAGGCCCAGATTACTCATTTTCTCTAGATCACTTTAGGAGGTAATAGAAGCCAATAAAGTGTGTTGTTTTATGTGAAGATAAGGGAGTAACTGATAAGGGTAAAACCACTCTTTGGCAGAGTTTTCAAGCTTAATGTTCCTTCCTCACCATTTTAGTGACTCAGCAGTGTGGGCCCTGGCATTGCCTCTCCCCTTCTTCCCACCAGTGTTGCTAAAAGATCAAGTTGAATCCATTTTGAAAGGATTGTTTCTTCTGACTAGGACTGGATTCTAGCAGAGTGTGTGTGTTATATCCTATTACTGTTGAGAAGCAGATGGGTGGGTGGGGGAGCGACATGTGTGCTGTGATCAGTCAGCTTGCCCACTCCCTCCTCCTAGAAATTCATGCCCTGTCTGGGGAAACTAAGAACCTGAGAAAGTTGAGACGGGGAAGGAGGACCTGCTGAGATTATATAAGTTTGGGAATGTCTCGGAAAGTAGGTAGTGTGCTGGAAGAGGGGTACTGGCCCTTTCAAATAATCCTCAGCAGTAAGAAAGAATCCTCTACTCACTTCCGAGCTCTGCTTTCTTAATGATTTTTTTCCCCAATCATTGCTATTTACCTTTGAGTCTCGTTCTTCACCTTTAGGAGGAAACCTTTCTGAAGAAATTAAAAGTTGTTAGATAGGCATGCGAAATAACATTTAATACGACTTCTAGCCTAACCTCTGATTTTTGGAGGCCGGAGTTAGAAACATCTAGATAAGGCTGTGATGACTATAGTACCTAGCACGTTCCTAATGAAGCGGTAAAATTCAATGACAGAACCATTTGTGTGTTATAACGCTGTGGACAGGAACACATCTGCAGATTGGAATTCCTTCCTTGTTTTCTTCCATACATCTTTTCCAGAATGGTACTGGGTGCATTAGTACCTACCAAATGTGTTGCCTAAAAAAAATATAATACTCCGTGAGTACTGTCTTGATCACCATCCCTTGGCCCTAGTGTCATAGTGGAATAATAGTGACTCTGATTCAGGAGCTAGAAGACAAAGTTCCGTGGATAACCTCTGAGTAGATAGACCGTGGGTTTGTGGAAGTATGCTTCTCAGCTTCTAATGGTAAAAAATACCAGTTAGGATCAACTGAATGAGTGATACACAACAATTTTTCTTCTCTGGAGGCTCACTGCGGTTTCTTGGTAAGTTCTTTCAGCTCACTCTTTCGCCGGACCTAACCACTAGGTGGTAGATACACCGTACCCCAAATTGTTTCTGCTCCAGAGCTTTTCTTTGCCGTTTTCAGTATCACATGGAAGAGGGTCAACTATTGTACCCACTGAGCTATTTAAGTGGTGCTCTAAAATAGCATGTTAAATTGGCCTGATACTTAATCAAATTTTTAAGGCACAGCAAGTAGATTTCTGTATTTGGATGTGCTATTTTGGAGAATGGATCAGTCTGACCTAGCCTTTCTCAGATGTGGTATTTGTTCAAGAATGGAATACTCGTGTGCTTGGTGTGGGTAAGGCTGTTTATGGAGTGGTGAGTGTCCAAACACAAAATAGTTCCTTAACAGGACTTTTTGATTTTCAGATACTTTTTTAGACTTAAACTACCTATGTCCCTCTCCCTCCCCCTCTTCCCCATCCTACATCATAGTTAGGCCTAGCATTTCTTACAGATCTGGATTTGAAGAAACACTAAAAGACTAATTAAGACTTGATGATCG